CGATGCTGCGCTCTCCCTCGTCTGATATTGCTCGTTCGCTTAATGGGAATTGATTTGCCAGACAAGTGTTGAGCCCTCATCAGGAGGGGCAAACATCAAGTTAGCTTACATGAATAGAGGATCGTGTAAATTACGAAGATAGAATGTGGTAAACAATTCCAAGTAATCACATGCGTAGAATAGTGCGTAGTGTTAAACGAACTCGACAAGAATTTCTGACAACGATATAAACAGCGTTTAATTGACCAATGTTCCACACAAAAACAGTTAAAATGAATCGTGTGATGTAAACTTAGTAGTGGATCGTAAGATGTCAACCGTATTCCGGCTCGAACTGAAATACAAGACGACAATAGAAGCTAACATAACTAACGTATCGAAGATAAAATAATACAAATGAAGGAACTATCGCTAACATTACAATAACGACCTTAACATGGAAGTGACAAATCGGCACTTATATTGATCGCAAGGAAGGTTGGAAAGCGATAATCGATTAATACGCTTCACGGCGTTTAACTCGGACGATAGCTTTATGATAAATAACCTTATATTAGACATATGGACCTAATCAAGCGCGATTCAGAGCATACAAAAAACAAAAACAAAACAAAAACAAAACAAAAAAACTAACCAAGCGATTTAGTAACGATATAGGCCATGTGATAGGTGATAAAGTGAGACTTAACGGAAGCGAATAACAAAAGGAAAAGCCCGAGAACTAAGCCTGAAAACAAGGAATCGGTTACTTATTTGGTTTGCGCACGTACTGAATTTGACTTGATAGAATGGATGAGTAGCAGTGTATAGAAAAACTATGGCCCAATCCCGATTAGAATTTGGCGCAGTAGAATCTACACTTGAGCTGAGCTAACCGAATAAAACCTCGTAAATATATCTAATCAAAGAACACGCAAGCCAAGCCAGTGATAATGACTATTTCCCGACGGAAATAGCAGCCGAGGGCTGGTCAACTACGGCAGATAAAACTTGATAACATCTACGGTATAACAAGTTCCTGCGACAAGAACTGAGTCAACATCAGGTTACAAAACCGACAGATCGTCCGGTCAAAAGAAAAAGGTTAGCTCACCTCGTCTGTTTTGCCCTTCCCCGCCAACCTAAGGTTGTCGGTCCAAAATGCATATATAACATCTTGATACCCCAGAAATTTTTCCTCAGCCGTAATCATGGAGATTTCTTAAATTTCGCACCATCTTTTTTTCTCTTCTCGAAAAAAAAAAAAAAAACCCGCTACCATCTCACTTTGCATCGCAATTGAAATCTGTACCTTATAACTCAATTTAAAAAATGAATACAAAAAAAATTGCATTAGCTTGCCTTTGGTGCTAAACTAATCCAAGGTCTTCAGTTAGGGAAACTAAGCGCACGTCACCATAATTTCGTTGTGTTTTCTTGCAGACTGGATGATCGTGTACATTAAAGCTGCTTCCCCAGCTTTCGTACCTGCAATCGGTGGGATAATGTGGGCTGTGTTTATCTGCGCGAAACGATGAGAAAATGACTGACCCTGTGCTCTAAAGGCCTGAAAAAACTTCATAATCTGGATAACGTTCTCAAATAACAAAGCCTGGCTGTTCGACAATAACGTAAGGTTGAGGAAGGGACTTTCATTTCTTTAAAAATAACATGTTACACCTGCATACTGTATTTAGAGATTCAGGTCTCGAAACTGTTTTGAAACACTTAAGTAGCTGCGAGGATAAGATTATATCAAAGTTATAGTTAAAGTCTCTGGGTGGTTAATAAAACAAAGTTTAGCCGTTGTTTAACAAAACCGCGTTCTAAACTATCTTGAATATAGCTGAATCTCTTTTCTGAACATATGTTTCTGTGAACAGAGTCAAGAGGGCTTAAAGCTAACCCTCTTATAAATGATACTTCAAACCCACTGCTTGCGTAAAACCGCAGTTTGGATTAGACCTCGCGTTGATAACCAGCCCTCTGTTCTAATAAAGTTAAGTAGTAGAAACTTGACAAGAATTTCTCTACTCGCCATGTGTGAGCACATTGACAAAAGATTGTGCATATTCAGGGAGATTAAATTCCAATAGAAACAGCTTCGCTGCCATTTTCATCTTTGGCTTCTGCCATCGTTCTCAACTTTCTCATTTTGTACAATTAAATTGTTCCACGGTTAATTTCTCCTCTCACTACAACTGGAATTTATTTTTCCGTATATATTTTCCTACGGTAGGCACCCCGCATTGGTCTGAGTGTTTTGGGTTTTAATTATTTATGTTTGTATATTTTTTCCGTTTTGATCTTGCCCAATAAAGCTTGACACAAAGATATAAAACTAGTTACCAACACTATCTATAGCTGTGTGAATCCATGTAAGTTTAATTTCCACGACACAAAAGCTGAAGTCTCTGTTTTAATGTCCATGAATGTGAGATCAGCATCCACCCTTGACTTGCAGTTTTGCTGTCATGATTCATGTTGCAGACAAAGGCTTCGTAAACAAAGGAGAATGCTGAACAATGACAAAGATGATGAAATGTTTCCCAAAGGTAAGTTCTCTCATTAAAAAAAAAAAAAAAAAAAAAAAAAATGGTGAAGGGGATAGTTTTGGTTGGGTGACCCCTCATTGGCAGTTAAACTTATATAGCCCCCCTTCATACTCTGTTGGCAACGACTGATTCTCCTTTCTCCCTGAAAATCATGTGATCTCCCAAAAATAATCACCTCCCCTGGCTAAAGATGTTGAATGCACCCTAATCACACCTTATTTTTTAACAATTTTGCTCGCCAAAATTCTTTTTTACAATTCCTTACTGTGCGTTTTGTTTTATTAGCCACACAGGCACGATGTAGAACCCCGATGTCAAGATACTAAGCAAGGCAGGCTCCTCACTATGACAACGTACCTTGTACCCGTCACCCGACCTTTGTGTCCATGTACGCACCAACCGTTGATAAGACTCACAAATGAATATTTTATACTTTGCATCGACTAACGGTCTAGAAAAGACTTCAAACAACAGTCGAGAAGATTGATGGTCACTTCAAACCATAATGGCATTAGTGTAACCTCTAACTTAAATGTTCTTTGGTATGCATGCAACCGCTGGTCATTGAGAATGGCGACTTGGATTGCAAGTAGAGGAAACTGATATTGCACTTTTTAAATTAAATACGGGCCTCGTGAAAACAACAACAATGAAAAAAGCTATGCATAAAAAACGTTGATAATACTTAGCGATCCCTTCCTCGTAAAATTTTACTGTTTTCGCGTTTTGCGTCCCGAAACTTCTGTAAATTCAAATAATAAAAAGCCGTTTTCTAGGTAAATAGCATACCCTTACACGATTTTGTTTGTACAGTAAACATTGCGATCAGCACTGCGAAGTTCCAGTTCAATTATCTTCTCTTTCCTAAATTGATTTTTATTCCAGCGTCGAGAAAGCTCGTATTAGCTACAAAAAATGTTATACCGACAAAGCCCTCTTACGTGTTCAACGGAAAGGACATGCGGGGCTTCTGATGAATGTTTACCTCAGTAATTTAGACTTTTTAAATTAATTTTCATATCGCAGGAGGTCAACAAGCATCCAGCTTGCTTTTTAAAGCCACCGAAAGTTTAATACCCTTTAGGTTTCATGTAAATTTTATGGCTCTTTTTTTGGCGAAGTTTTGAACCGGTGGAATTATTCAACTCTGTGCATTGGAAGTAATATGCAGCCAAAATGATCAGCACTGGAACAACATTGAACATGTACTTGCTGCAAACTTATTTTACGCTAATATTACAATGTAGAATACTTATTTAATAAATATATTTGAATATAATCCTTATGCTTTGATTGTTGATGTTAGAGCATGGCTATATACATCTTTCCCCGATGCTTGTCGAACAAAGCATTGCTTTTAGCGTCCCCTCTGTACGCAACATTTATAAGGGGCAGTTTTAGACATCACTACGCGGTTTAACCAGCAAACCCCCCGAATGAACAAGTTTCAGTTGGTTTTACGCGTACCTGACAACCAAGAACGGGCTTGCAAAAGCTAATTGGGGAAAATGTGACTGAGAAGCTATCACTTATGCAGGAAGCGCCATCTAGCTTACCACGGACGTGAAGGGTTTGGCCATGGTCGTGGCCCACTACATTTGAGCCCTTTGTTGACATCAATGAAATCAATTAATTTTTGGGGCACGTGTAAAATGCTTTTTATTGAGATCAGTCATTATCAATCGTCTGGCGGGAGGGGGGGTCCCATGATTTTAAGGGGGCACAGTTGGGGGATCAGTCGTCACCAATGGAGTGAGTCAATACGCTCGATACCAGCAGAATTTTAATCCTACATACATACATAACTTTACTTCCGTTCGAAATTTTTAGAGTAGCAAAGTGGTGCAAATTTCTCTGAATAAAGAAACTGTCTAAGTGAGTAAATGGCTAAGTCTTATTCATGGAAAACACTAATTCAATTTCATAATTATATTTCAATACATGAAACCAATCAAATATATTAAATAAGATAAGTAAAGGCTACTTGTTGCTAAACAGTAAAATGATCAATAGTCTCAAATACAATTTTAAAATCTTTAAAGTCATCGAGGCTCGAACATATTCGTCTAAATCGTTCCATCTTTTTGCAGTAGAATGTATATAACAGACGGATTGTATGACATAACAATACTTAACTTCCTTCGTGTAACTCTATTTTAAATGATATGAAGCAGTTCATATTTTTTTGCCGTTGAATACGAGCCATATTTATATACAATCAATAGGCTCCAAAGAAAAATTTTATATAGGTTTTTCCTCTGAGATCAGCTATAAAAAAAATGTAAAAAAAACGACTTTCTAAGTTTTTATCCTCTTTTTGTTATATGCCACAATGCTACGAAACGCTGGGGAATTCCTGCTATTTCTTAGTGTGTGCGAGATGATTTATGCTTAACGATCTGTTTTTTACAATGATTTCGATGAAGTATTTTACTTCCTTTCATCTTTTCTTTTTCCTATCTCTACTTAGTAGAGATAGACCTCTGCTGTTATTAATAAATAATCGAATTCTTCGTCTTCTGCTGTGAACCCTGAAACAATACTCTCCAGCCGCTGTAACAGGTCATGTTCTCTCTTACGTAATTTACGGAGGGAAGACTCGACGACATCCTCTTGAAATCTTACTTTCTTTTTTTCTCTAAGTTTGCTGCAGTCGTCATTGCTTTCACCTTTCAGAGATTTTAACATGTTGCTTATCCTGTCGAACAATGCTTGTCTCCTTGTACTGCATTGCTGTTTATCTATTGTTTCTTTGGATCTTTTCTTCCTCCAAGCTTTGATAGCTTGACTTATTAAATCAAAGTTCAGATTGGAATTGTTCGTGGGGTCAAGGCCAATGTTTCCAGATTCTTTGTCCTTCACTTCTGCTGACGTTTTAGAGGTTCTCGACTGTTTCAACTTGTTACTGATTGCATCGAAAAACTCTTTTCTTTCTTTTAAGCTCGAGCAACGGTTCTCATCGATAAGATCATACAGCTCACTTTCGCTCACATAGTTCTTAGCATCCAAAAGAGCATCGTTGATTATGCCAATAAAGAAGTTCATACAGAGAATAGTGAGAGTGAAGAGAATTAAGAAGGCGAATATTTTGGCGTATATGGTGTCGGCCTGTGCTAATTCATTGATTGGTCTAGCTTTCACTCGACCAAGAGTTAGCTCAAGTTGGAAATAGGCTCCTTTTAGCACCGAAGAGTAGCGCCCAGATACAGAGCCAAACACTAAGACACCAAAGTGCAAAAATGCCACAAAGAAAATGGATAAAACGATGCTAAAGGATAACAAAGATCGTGCAGATATCTTCAATGTTGCGGAGAAAAGAGCAACATAGTTGTTGAAGCGAATGATTCGCAATAGCTTGGTGGTAACGATGAAAGTAAGAATTCCAAGTACCACATTTTCCACTTCTTGGCAAGTGATAGCTTCTTGGAAACTTAGATTTCCGTAAATGTTTTTATGCAGTTTGCCCATGGTTGAAATGGTTTTACTTTGTCGTATTATGTACATCACCACGGAAATCAGAGAAAAAACAATTTGAAATATCTCGACCCAATTCCAGATAGACTTGAAATATCGAGAACGATGACTGTAAAGTCTGGAAATTTCCCTTCCGAAATACAGAAAAACGAATACAAAGTACAGGAACAAGCAAATCAAATAAAACTGATGCGAGGGTGTGCCCGTAGAATCAAGTGAAAGAACACGAATTTGCACGGAGGCTGCTCTCAGTCCAGATGCATGAACTTCATAGAAGTATGTGGCAACACTTAAAATATTCGCCGACGGATTGAATGTGGAAAACTCTGCCAGGACAACTCTGGTTTGCCTGTCAAGCCAACCGTTGTTTTGTAAATTTGTTACTATGCTGAACCCCGTATGGTTATCATAACCGAGGTCTGCTACAAATCCTCCTCCATCATAAAAGGAGAAATGTCCCCACCTGGGTGTAGTGTCGGTTTCCTCGGCATGTTGATATCGCCATGGCTTTGGGCAAAGTTGTAATAACTCGTCATTCCTCGCAGCATTGTCGACAGGCCTCCAGCCTGGTTTGTTGTAGGCGGTCTTGTCTTCGTTCTTTGTCGAGTATCCTTTGAAACATTCTTGGAAAGATGTTTCCATATAGTTTAGGACTTTACATTGCGCTGAAAGTTGGAACAAAAGATCATGATTAGGAAGTTTCTTTTGGTATTCATTTCACTCAGGGATGACACATTTCGTACTTTTAACAAATATGGACATCTCTTGTTATGGAGAATTATTAGAAGCCTTCAAAGTAGCATTTTCTTTCGGAGGAAAGGAGCGCCGTCATCAAAACCTAAATTTAATCAACGTTCATAATAAAACGCAACTACCTAAAAACTCGTCTAGATAATTGTCAGAATGGTCAGGAGTCTAGATAATTGTAACCAGTGCATGTTCAATATTTTTTCTTTAAGAATTTCCATAAGCTATTGTTTAACTCTACAATTAAGTTTGTGCACCGATTGCTTCTCTATCAGGCAAAATTATATATGTATAACTATAATATGTGAAATGACGTGTGTGGGTAAATAGCCTTTCACTGAAATGCAAAGAGGAATAAAAATGGAAAAAAAACTTACTCGCTTTCACTCTGAGTTGCCTTACTCGAGCCATTCCGACGAGAAGAGAGTGTTTATTACCAATATAAATTGTTTTCTCATCCCTTTGACCGTTGTACCATCTGCCGGAAAACACACCTGGGATGAAAACACGCTCTAACCAGCTCCAGTACCTTGTATTGTTTGTCACCTGAATTAGTACAAGATCATTGGGTTAAATAAATAAATAAATAAATAAATAAATAAATAAATAAATATATATATATATATATATACATATAAATATTATGAGAGGGAAAAAGGGACGCAACTACATTTCCCGACAAGCCCGTTTCGTGAATCGCTTCACTCTTCAGGGGTTTAATTAAACCCCTGAAGAGTGAAGCGATTCACGAAACAGGCTTGTCGGGAAATGTAGTTGCGTCCCTTTTTCCCTCTCATAATATTTATTCTGCTCTGCTTCAAAGTATTGAGCACTGTTCCACGAGAAAATCGACTTGCAGACTTCCTATACATATATATATAAATATAAATGAATTGTTAATTGAATTGTCATTAGTTAACATGGGTAATGAACTCGTGTCTTCATACCTTCACAGAAACAAAGCGTTACTGCGCAACAGCTGAACAAAGCACCTACATTTACCGCTACATTTATTATGCAAATTTTATAGTATATCTTCGATGGTTACAAATATTCTTTCCATTAGAATCCCCTGAAGAATGATCTAATCACGAAACAGGATTGTCGAGAAAAACCTTGGTCTCTTTTTTTTTTCCCCAGCTCAATTCATATCACGCTGTACTTCCATGTATCAAGCACTGTAATACGGAAAAACCGAAACATAGAATTCCTATATATATATATATATATATGTAATCTTTTTTAAGGATAGCAGTATGGATAGACGAGCAGAAGTTTGAGTCACACAAGTGAGTTACTATTTACGGGCGTGTCTTAGACTATTATTCTCACTTGCTTATTTTCATTGCATCCATCCCCTCAAATATTATGTTTGCCGCTTTCTGGCTCTTCTCCTATAGCAGAATTGAATGCCAATGTCTTCATGGGATTATACATCTATTGCTTGGAATTTCTTTCCAGTCCTAAATTTGGGTCTCGCGCACTAACATATCTCTTGTACCCTGTTCTAAAGGGATATTCCTACTCAAAATATCCATTACAAAAGCAGAAAATGCCTTAGTCAGTTCTTGAAGAGGCCAGCAAAGTAAAATTTTACTTCATATATTTGATTTTGGATCTCCATGGTAACGAAAAGTCATAAGATAAATTAAACACGCGAATTTCAGCAATGGATTTATCATAATGAAATGATGTTTACTCACCTTGCCAAAGTTTGGTAGTCCATCCTGGATTGATTTAGTCATCAAGTACCGATGGTCATTTCTGTTTCCATAGCACACTGCCATAAGCAAGAAAACGAAGACCAAATATAAACCCAACTCTGTGATATAACGTGCCAGGTTCTGTTTCTTAGCTTGTCGTCTCCTCATCTCTTCCACCTCTGATAATTTCAGTGCCCAAATATGTTTCTTATAGTACCCAGTTTTAACTTGCTGAGGGCCTTCGCAGGCGTGTACTTTTGATCTCTTCGCCTTTATCTTTAAAATGGCCGCGAATGTTAAAGCTGTGAAGAACACTTTTACTGGTTCCTTGATTGTTACATCCTGCGCGAATGAAATAAGCATTGAAGACAGCCACTGCTCACTGACACTCTTTTCCCAAATTAGCCTGTAGAAAATTGAAAACGCAGCCGAAACAGTACAAGAAAAACATAACAAACACCAAGCGACACCAGAGATCAGGGCACCCTTGAGACAATGGTCATTGTTCGTCGCAGACTTTTCAGCTCCTTTCTGAAACAGAAGCACTATGACAATGTTTATGGGCGTCACAAGGAGTGCGCTTTCAATTCCAGTCACCACTTGTCTCCACGACATTTTCAGCGGTCCGACTTGGATAGGCTGTTCATATTTGCTTTCTAACTTATAGAACATCGCGTTAGCAAACATGGATGTCAAAAGTACTGAAAGGCAGCAAGAAAGCCGCTGCACTCTTGTAAAGCGGCTTTTTCTTAGCTTGGCTGCCACCGAAATCCAAATGTGCCACTCCGCGAGGCCTCTTCGCCAACGTTTTGCAACTTCATCGCCAAAATCCAGATGATTTGAGGTCTTGTCGATTATTCGCTCGATGCGCCCGTCTCCGCGCTGAAGAGAAAACCACTGATTGGCAATGAATTTCCACGACTGCTTGGATTGTGCATCCCGAATGACAATTTCCTCCAGGTACCACGAGGGATTATCTCCAAAATTATCATGTCCAATCTGTAATTCTTGAATCGAACCAAGTGATTTGTTAACATAAAGTACAAAAACATCTGAATTACCTCGAGAGAATAACGTATGAACTGCACCCGGCTCTTCTTGGCTAAGCTGAAGAATACCACTCTTTCCTTCAGAACCGTAGATCTCCAAAGCAACATGAGCAGTCGTGCTGGAGTTTTTCCAAGCCCCTGTGGTAATCACTATAACGTATTCATAGGTGCTGCTTGAAGATGATGGAAGTTGGATCGGTAATTCCCTCTAGAAAAACATGATAAACCATGAGTTCTTAACACAGCTAGCTAATTTGTATTCTTAATTCGCCTTTTTGTCCCATTCCAAGAAGAGAAAAAAAAACAAGGAAACTTTGTAAACAGTTTAATTTAATTGGCTGTCACTTCACTTTTAAACATCATTTTTTTTCAAGGATATGCTCAACGCAGTTTCAAGTTAAAATTTCAATCTCAAAAAACCTTTAAAACTAATTATGTTGTCAACATTAAAACCTTTTTTATTAACTCCCAGAGATTTTCAACATGTAACTTCTCCCAAAAATGTCCGCGCATTATCCAGGTACAAGGTTATAAGAATATTCAAATTTATCAGGGAGAAGTTGTTATCTTGATCTATTAGCAACTTTTCATGACTTTTTTCCAAAAAAAAAAAAAAATGTATGGCAACCGGAGCGGAGAATTGACGACCAGATCATGAAAGTGAAAGGGTTATACTGGAGAGCATGCTCTGTTAAAACAATGGTCCTAAGCAAAATCTAGTTCGACACTTACATTTTTCGCGTCTCCATTGTCGAATTTCCTTACGACAACAAGCACAGTCATATAACACAATAAAACCACCGCAATAGCCACGATTACTGTAATATTTCCAGTTTCTGATAACTGCTGAAACTCGACTAGAACCTTTTCGAAGTCAATAGGATTCGGTTCGACTAAGAGACTTCCCCCAAATGATGTCAAATGGCTACAGCTACAGTTTAAAAATCCATTTAATTCTGCTAAAACCTGAAATTATAAAATACAAGGAAGATGTTAACAATAGAAATTATCATTTTGGCTGTCAACACTGATCACACCGTATCTTTTCTGTTTAAAGGCGCTGCTAGGCCCCGGCTGGTTATCAAATAGATTCGACTTTTAACTAGTCAAAGATTAGCCTGAATTCAATGATAAGCTTAATGAGTTAAGACTATCACAAGACGAAAGCGCTTTTGCAAACAATACTCGGGAAAGCTCAAATCATCTGAACTTTGTCGAATACAATGTCAAATTATTAAAAAAAAAAGATTGTCCTGAAAATCGTCCCTTAACTTTTCACTTACCCGACAGCCAGATGATATCCACTTGTCAAATTTTTCTGACCAGTAAACACAACTACCTAAGGCCACTTTTAGAGTGAAGTTCTGGTCTGTTTTGGAATCATAGACTGGTGTCACAGAGACCTTTTCAGTCTGGGGTGGGGTGGGTGGTGGATCTTTGGCTTCGACGCAGGAGCGCTTCCTTCGCCTTCCACCAAGACAAGATCTTTTCTCCCTTTTGTGTGATAAGTTCACTGTGGCATTGTAATTTTTTAAGCCGAGAAAGAACTTCCCGGGACGCTCAGCCAGAACTTGTATCGGTGCATGTGGATTCAAGGAGCAAACTGTTTGCCCTTCACTTTTGTTATGAGCACTTAGCACCCAAATACACTTTTCGTCATGAGAAATAGTGGCATTGAGGTCGTAGTCCTGAGTTGTCGGCCGCTGACCAAAACGCATATAGACAAACATGTGTACAGTTGGATCCTGAGGTTTGATTTCCAGCATCAGCCAGGTGTTTTCAAATCTAACCTCTATCTCGTAAAAAAGTAAATTATCATTCCTTGTAAAATAGTTTTCCTTTTTCGCTAATTTTTTTTCAGGTTTCAAAGGTATAATGATGACCACGTCCTCCGAGAGATTTGATACTTTAATCAGCTCTCTTTTGTCGCTTTTCAGCTGCAGGGTTAGAACATCAGAGCCAACTCGCTCTTTTGTGCCGTCCCAAGTGTAAGGATTAAAAGAAATTGACAGCATCTAAAAGAAAAACGATTAACAATTTTGCCTGTTTGTTTGTTTTTGTGGACTGCTTTAATTATACATGTAAACAAGGAATATACTGTCAACATAGAAAATCAAGCTTGATTCGATTCGTTTTTGTTGTTTCAAGTGCCAGAGTTGAACATGGCAAAAGCAAAACAAGAAATATGATTGCTGGAGGTAATAACCAACCTTTAAGGTACCTATTTTGCTACTTTAACTTGACTGGGGTCTGTATCTGCGAAAAAAAAATGACTTGAAATGTGCCTGTGGGGCGGGAATACCTACCTGAACATCTACAAAACTTGTTTTGTTTACTCCAGAGAGTAACAACTGGCTCTTAGACGGTAAGATAAACCGGCCTTTTCCTGCTTTAATTTCCAGTCCTGAAAGTCTCTGGAGGCTATATCTCTCGAGTGTCATGGATAGTTGTCCTGTTGTGAGTGGTATCGTTCTTTCATCAGGTACTGTCAAGGCTAACAATGAGTCTGCAACTTTCTCGAGGGCCTTTATTGAAATCTTCACCAACATCTTACCCTGTAGAAATTGCATAAATGAACAGAGAATATTAGCAAATTGTGCATTTCCCCAAGCTTGAAACAAACAAACAAAGGTCCAAAATCTGAATGACGGGAATTACGCTGAAGTTAATAGCAATCTGCAATAGACTATTCTCTAATGAAGTTAGTGCAATAAGTATGCTTGAATGTATAAATAAGTTTTAAAGAGTCTATTTGATGTAGACTTTTTGACACCACCTAAATGTACATTACAGTACCTGTTGTTGAAAACTTGGCTTAGAGTCTTCTGATGCGGTCACTGCTGCCGCCTTCAACGCGCTATTAAGACATGAAGCCAGGTTTTCTGCTGATTGCTTTGTCAACGAAGTGTCTGCTACATGTTTTTTCTGGGTGATAGACCATAGATGTGATGTCATGGAGCTGATAGCAAATGAGGAGATATTCTGTGGAGTGCACATGAAAATAAATGAAGCTAAAAATGCTCTCTTTCTGATTTCTTTCCATTGACTTTTGTAGAAATAGTTTGTGGCGAATTAGCTAAATAAGTACAAAATTATAGATTGCTTCATTCGATAACACAACAGTTGCCTATTTTTTCATCCCTGTTTGTTTTTATTTTCTTCGTCTTTACTGTTGTTGTTACTGATGTTGTTTCTTGAGCCTTTCTGGCCAAATGGTGTCATGGTATGAAAACTTGACGTGACAACCAAGGCTATTCCAGCCCCAATCAACATGACGTAATTAACTTACCAGAGACTGGTGGGACACTTTCTCCAAAACCTGAAGAGCAGAACCGATAGCTGAAGATTTATGAAGCAGGTCGGAGACGGTTTTTGCTTCTAAGGGTGCCACTTTTTCAAGGATGTAGTTCATAACCTTGATCAACGATAAACATACCAGCTTAAAGTTATTTAAGCGTTAAGGAATTAGGCAGAAAGACTGTATCTCGCACATGAGGCTCGGTGTAAAGATAATAAATCTAAAGGCATATTTAGACTTGACGTATCAGGTTTCCCAATGACATTGCCAGTTAAAACCCATCAAATGACATATTTTCAAGCGCATGATTGATGTAAATGTATCAAAACACAGAAAATGTTTTAGATGAAATTAAGGAATATCTGGTGGTTTCAGCACATGAAATAAATTTGCAAGCCTCATTCTCAAGACATCGTAAGTACTCGTTCGAAATTTAATTGAATGCTCCTGAGCGTTCTTCAATTGTCACAACGGAAGACAAAATTGTATGCCCACACGCTCAACCCGTGAATATATATCATCAATATACTTTTTTTAATTCAAATTCTTTATTCCCTTTTTTTTGTACAGTCGGCTCTTGGTAAACTCTTTTCTTTTCGGATACGATTATAATGAGCTAGTTTTGTGTCACTTTTTAAGTAATAAGTTGGGTTTTAAAAGTACCTAGTATTTCTCTTGCAAATCCATTGAGGTTTCTTGGGAAACTGATGGCAGGACAGAGTTTACTATTAGCGTCGCTTCTCTCAGGTTTCCGATCCCGATGAATTCCAGAAATAAACTGTCCTTTGCCATTAGAAGGTTTGTGATATCATCGGGTCTTACATTTTGAGATGGCTTGATCTGCAAAAGTCAAAAGCAGGTATCTATAAGTATTGCCAATCTATTACTAATAGCAACCAAAAGAAATTAAAATATTCTCACATCCTTTCAGGCTAGACATTAAATTAATGGTTAGCGACCTACCTGAACCGTCAAAGAGACTGGGGAAGAAGAAATTCCAAAATTGTCAGTCACTGTGGCGATAAATTTGACAGCAAAGTTATCTGCATCGATCCCAGGCGGTAACCAAGAGGTACTTATGTTGTTGTTAACGCCATGATATAACACATTGTACAAACCGTTGTCTAGCCTGTATTGAAACTGGTAGGACAGAGGGGTGCTGTCACTTTCCCAGTCGGTACAGCTCAGATTGAAATCAGTTTTCAGTGAGATGCCGCTTGGCGGAGTGATCGAGCAGTTGCCCCCCGTAGGGGGTATTGCTATAGCATAATCGTAAGCAGACATTCCCCTAAAACCGTCCGTAGTTGTAATAAATAGTGCCAAGCGGTATTTATTTCCACCAGTAAGGGAACCGCCTTTGATAACAATGTCACGTGAATTCAGCGGTGTACTTGTGATAAGTGGTAAATTGTGTTTCTTTTGCCAGGTAAAGGAGGTGTTTCTATTAAACTGCTGGTAGAGCATCCACTCATAGGATGATATTTTAGAGCACTGTAATCCGCGGCACTGTGATTTGATACTAAGTTTGACGAAGGGACTCACTTTAGTTTGGCAGTTAAAGAAACATCTACAATAAAGCGAAAAAGATTTGACGAACACTCAGTGAAAAAGAGGCTTTGAACTTCCGTTGTGTGATGAGATCATGCAATTAAGAAGAACAGCTGCAGCCGTTGCTGCAATTTAACATTGATATGAACAACTGCTAACGAAGTAGCTACAACAACAGTAATAACCAAAACGACGATGAAAACAATAACATTATCATTAACAGCAACAACAAAGTCAATAGAACGACGGCAACAGAAACAACAAAGAAGAAACAAAACAGATAGAATTGGGCAACAGAAGCGTCAGTAGCAAAAGTAAAGAGCAATAGCAGGGTCAAGAACAAATAAAGGTGTCAACAACGGCAACGAAAACATCAGTAAAAACAAACCAAACGAACTAAATAACAACAGAAACAAACAAAATAAATCCTTAACCTTTGATATATTTCTGGGGGGTCTCCTTCTATCAAATGGATAACTTGATAAACGGTGGAAATACGACTGTCCTTGATCACTACCAATTTAACTATGTAGGTCTGATTAACAGACAAAGCTTTGGTGTTTAAGGAAATTTGTTCGCCAAATGCTTTTCCATAATAATGAATGGCTGATTCGTTTACTGCCGTGAAGAAATCTTTCTCCGCCTTCGCTTCTGCTCGTTTACTGGAACGATTTCCTGTGACTTTGCCAAAATGCCAGGTAAATTTCATTCCTGATCGGTTGCCATGTGCAACTTCCGAGTCATATGACAGTGAGGCAATCAATGTGATGTTTTGGTGGAGTCCTCTAGTCACTTCTGCGCCGCCGGAAATGACCGCCACAAGGTCAAGTTTTCTTTTGCCAACTGACTTCTCATCTAAACAATGAGAATAAAAATAATAATAAAAAAAGAAAACAAACATACTTAGCTTAGTTACAGGGGGAGGGGGACGGGAGGGGGGGAGGGAGGGGGGAGTTGATAGGGTCTGAAACCAAGGGACGTTATCCTTACAACTTGCAGAGCGATCAACACGCATGCTAGTCAGCCGTCAAAACACCTATGTTCCTGATGTTGAGAATGTAAAGAATATTTTCTTCTAATGACATGTATGATGTCAGTAATGGTTGAAATAATATTTATTGAGCGTTACTGTTAATTTTGGTTTTGAAAAATAAGCCAAAATTGAAAGAAACGACGGCAAACGAGTTCGGTCGATTGATCGATGGGTCCACGTGAGAACAATGGTCAGAAACAACACGTCAGAATAGTATGGGCTAATCTCTTACATCTCCTCTTGATGTGACAAGGTAAGAGTGTTTACTCCACCGATTATCTCTACCGTGTCAAAATCTTCTGATAAGGGTATGAAATTTGAAAAGAAAAGTAATTTTCGACTTGTGTTTAAACTTTGTTTTTTTAAATTTTACTCTAATTTGACAATTGGCGTTTCATGATTGTCCGATAGCTAGAAATACCTCCGCTGTAATTGCATATGTCGGTATTTTTAAACCAACTGACCATGATCTTGGCAACTCTATCAACTGGAATACGAAAATAATTTGTCAACCATCTGTTTCTTGCGCTGCGAAATTTTGATTTTAACTAACACAAGCTAAAACTAGGATATCTTATCACAAACTTAATCTTGAGAACAGGGAAGGTTCATGCTTCCATTTTCGCATGCGCTCATGCCCCTCGCCTTCCGGTATGTTTACCCATTAGTCGACTTCCGGTGAGTCGATTCGTCAACTACCGCAGACAAATCGAGTCAGATTGAGTGTATTGGACATGTAGGGGTTATTACTAAAGAGGTTGAGTAGTTTTAGATGGCAGCCTCTCAGTTAGAGTTGTGGCAACATGTTAACGTGAAAAGCATTCATTAGCCCATCTGTGAAGACTTTCACTGGTTTGCTATGAAAAAAAAAAACATAAAGGGTTTTGAAAAGACTTGGATATTTGTTAAAATGAGCCAACTCAATGCAATAACTCAGGTTTTACATTGAATGCACTGTCAGTTTGTCTTCCAAGCCATTAGAATTAGGGAAACTTTTAATAAGGAAAGTGACTTTTTTTAAGCCTGGAAACTATCATCGTTGAAAGCCATGCTAGACTACCAAGTAACTCTTTCTTATAACTTGTAATTCTTATAACTAGGAAGGATAAAATACATAGTGATATCTATAGATTAAATGCATAGGCTGTACAAAAAACTTAGGTTTGACTACCAGTCCCAATCCCCACACCTAATAGACCATTAACAGGGTTAGGGGAAAATTAATGAATTTTTAAAAAATTTAAGAATTCAGCGTGGACTGGAAAAAACAAGATTAAAAAAATAATAATATTAAAACAGAAGTATACTCATGCAGGTTACTTTATTGAAAAATCCCAGCAAAATATTCACCGCGTTGAACAGCTTTTTAGAACATCTACATACAACTTCTCCCTATAATATCCATACATTATCCAACAAACAGGTGATGAGAATACTGAAACTTATCACATAGAAGTTGTTAATTTGATCCAACATCACAAAGAAATGTGTAGCAGCTAGAGGGGAGAATTAACAATTAGATCTTGGGAGTGAAAGGTTTAACAGCTTTTTACAACAGCTACATGTACCCATACACATGCATGTACAGCTTTAATATTGACAAAACTTGAACTCATGCAGATTTCCTATAAACCTGTAGTTTAAGCCTCCTGTCATGACATTCAAAACTTTGATGCACACTTCAAAAGAAGAATGAAAAATAGATTTGAAACTTATATTTAATATTCAGTTTAGGTTATTTTAAGGTAAGATTGAGTCAAATGTTGTAGCGACAACATGATCGAGACTAATATGCAAAACTACTGGTAATTTACAAGTGTTAACCTACCTGGAACAATAACTTTCACATACAGTTTATGCATTAATCCTCAAACCCCTAAGAGTGACACATATAATTTCTCCTTACAATATCACCCCTGGGTCACACATTAAGGTCATGAGAATTAAGGACATGATCACCAACTAAAGAAGCCCTTGATTGTTAGGCAAGTTTTTGTTAGTAACTTAGGAAACCTGTAGAGAACAGTATGGAGAATATGCATATAGATATTAGGGTGTAAAAGGTTAATCCAGGTTCATGCTTATAATGCAAAAAATCACCTTCATTTTCAAGAAAATAACTAGTAAGGATGGGTAGTGATTTATAGCCAGAGGTCCTCCATTGAATTCTGATCTTCAGAAAGTTCTTTAAAATTAGGAATTTGCTTATAATGCACAACAGAACTCCATTTTATCTGCTGACAGTTTCCCAATGGGCTTCATATAAGAGAATTTATGAGAAGTAGCTATGAGAAATAGCTTTCCAGAACAGTCAAAAATTATTTTGAGATTTATAGGAGGGAAGGGGCATGGGGTCAATGATATAAGAGCAAGCTTTCAAACTAGTAAGGAGGTTATCATCTTTTCCTTGGTTCAGTCAACAATGAGAGTGAATAAGACAATGTTATTGACCATTGTCTGTGAATAAAACTAGAGGAATTTAAAATGTAGAATATGGTTTGTACAATTCTCTTACTTCATTTTTTTTCAATCTATCAAGCTAAGGCACAAATATTCTTGCCTTCTGCACTATGTAGAGGTCAATTAAGAAGGAGGTTACTCAACACTTTTTACACCGTAAGATCAGTGTGTCTATTCTCAATACTGTTCTCTGGACATTTCTTAATGTTCTGAAAAGGAGAATTTGTTAAACAATCAAGAGTTTCTTCAGTTGTTGGTCATTTTTGTCGTTCTAATGACCTTAATTGTCTGATTCAGGGGTGATATTGTAAGGAGAAATAGAACACTAGTCACCCACAGGGGGTGAAAGGGATAATCTATGTACCCCTAAACATTAAAGGGAAGGAGGCAAGTCAAAGAAAAAACATGACTGAAAAGAGGAGGGTGCCCATTAATTTCAGTCTTAATGCATGAACTCTAACTCCCAGATCAAATTTGTCATTTTCTTTACTGTCAACCATACAATTCTTATAATATTAGTTCAAAGAATTTAGTACTGGATCAACTAATAATCCTCAAATTTATATTTTTCTATATTCTCATCACTTATCTAGTTAATATTGTACTGATATTGACAGAAGAAAATTTCCTTTGTGGAATGGGTATCAGCATTTGTAAGAACACCGTGTACTATTGAAATCTTGAGCCTGAGTATTTATTGCCATCCAAATTACATGTTACAATGTGGGAAATACTGTAAAATTAAATAATTGCACAATTCTTTACAAAGGTTACAGAATTATTTTGACAACTTTTCAAGAAATACAGTATGTAAGGCAAACATGTACTTATGATTATGATTGTAATAAAGTTAAAAGTTTGAAAGCTTAAAATATACAAATACAATCATCAAATCTTATGAATTCTCACTGTACAAGTCATGTAAAAGGTACATTCCTGTATAGGAACAGACATGTCAATTTCCTGTGTCATTTGAATTACAAGCCAAAATGTTTTTATCAGTTAAGTGCTCGAGTTTCCCCAAAAGTCACCTTTTTTACAGTAGATTTCACTCCTTTCAGGGCCATCTTCAGCTTCTGGACCATCCTGTTGCATGTGAAAACATTAAGTGTTACTCTATTGATCCAATAAGTCGGTAAAATTTCAGAAGCAATATTTTACAAGCTGACCATCTGAGAAGAAGTTCACTCTGGTAATTTTATGCATTGCAGGCAAACCCTATACAACTGATTGGAGTTTATTTGATCGAAAATATGAAAGGCAATGGAGGAAACTAGCTGGCACAATTCAAGTTTCCCCTCTGCATTCTGTGATCTTTTTTTCTTTTAAATTATAAAGTTAAACTTTTTAATCTCCCTAGTTTTACAGTTGAAAACTTAAAAACCTTTAAGTTATTTACGGATATTGGTGGCCGTAAAATTGCAAGATGTGAGCAAGATTCCAATACGTTCAGCCTTGCGTGACGAACCCTTGAGTGTGTTCCATCTACACTAATTTCAGATTGCTGCCCTTCTTCAACGTTTGGCAGAGAACTGTTGACCTACCGGTATGAATGTGTTCGAATACGCAAAGAAAAATAGAAGCCTGCAGCTACTTTACGGAATGTGGTGTTGTAGACAATTTCGCCACGGTTTTACTTACTTTATTGATTTCCCTGATCGCACACGGTGATTACTGTTGTGTTGTTTGTGGGTCCAATTGGTACACGTGTTCTACAAAGAACGCCATCTTTTACTCTATCCCAGAATGCTTTTGTACGTATAGGGGTCATGTAAGCTATTGAAACATCTCCTCTTTTTGTTAAAGAGCACAAAGACTGATAAGTCTAACTTTAAGCGATGGTCTTGTAACTCGTTTAGGCCTTGTAGTAAGAATAGGTGTTACAGGGGGTACTCGAAAGTCTCTCTTAGAAACAGGAGCGTCCTTCCGAATAGGTGTTGCAACCTTCCTCTCGGCTGGAGGTCCTTCACAAAGACTTCCATACCTACTCCAATCGGCTTTGGCTTGAGCCTGCTATTGACTGAACACTCTTTGCTGCTTCAGCTTCCTCATGCACTCTCTTTCACGAAGGTTTTCCAGATCAGGCCACTGCAGGTTAAGCTGGGTATGGAACGCCGGAACACTGTTCCTTATCTGCTTTCCCATCCGCAGCAACTGAACAGGAGAGAAGAGCAAATAAAATGTGTACACTTATGAAAGACATTGTGCAATCAGTTTTAAATATGAATGAATTATAAACTGAAGTTAGCATCAAACGACGATTAATAAAAGAAGTGTTGAATTTTTTTGGGACCTAGCGTAGGAAAAAATTTAAGTAAAAATCAACTTACGTCCTGGCTCTCCTTTGTCGGCTTCTCTGAACTTCGCTTTTTCTTTGTTGTTGACCTCTTTTCAGTCTTTTTTTTTTTTTTCTGGAGCTCTTTGTTTTACCTTCTCACGTCGCTCTTCGTTAGATATTCGTCGTTTAACATCAGTCTTTTCATGTCGTCTTTAGCGTTCCTCTTGCAGTGTAATTACCGAGAATCAATGAAGCTTTCAACTACGAACTAATAAGTATGACTTCCAGCTCAAAATGCCAAATTCCTTTATTTGCGCTGCTTCAACTCTGCTTGCCCGCGTGAAGCCCTCGTGTATACAGTAGCCGGGTGCCTGCGGTACACTGCATGAACTCTGGTAAATGCGTACTTCATCACTTTGTATCTGAGCTTGTTAGCGCACTCGATTGGGGTCTCCAAGTTAGGCACGCAACCGCGCATGTGCATTACCTCCTCCATTTGTCTTTTACTTACGTAATAGCCAGGTCCGAACCCGCAATACTATTGCCCGCGCATGCTTAAAGTTGCACCTTGTACGGTAGGTCATATGGTAGAACACCAAACCAAATTTTCTCGGGTTTATGGGTTACTTCTAACTTTCATAAGTATGGGCCATGCTGCATGCGCTGCTAGCTATGCCATGACAGTTAGGTGCTACACCTGAGTACATAGGATATAGTGTGTAGTATATAGTATCATACCTCGCGGTGACGGCGACGGTGACGGTGGTAGCGATGCTTAAGATGGATGAGAATGTTAATCTTCGATTAGAGCGACATGTTAATTGAGCTCTTTTACTGTTTTACGGCTCTCCTCTTGGCACTGGTTTGTATATTTTTCAAAATATTGAGTAGCGAATGACAGGAAACGCAAACGGCGTAGAGGTTCGTAATTTCAAGCTTGTCACCATTACTCAATTTACAAAACTTGAATGAAACGGATATTTTATAATAAGTTGACGTTAGCGAGGACCTTTTTAGTTTCCTTTCAACACAGGTTTTTACTAAATGTGTTATAACACCATGAGTCGTCACTGTTACGAAGTACTTCGCCCGAAGTGCGCTAAACGAACGGACACTATTGGAATACATTACAAATACCTCTAACATCCCCGTTATTAACGCTACTATGAGAGGAAAAGACTAATGAGCAATGGCTTTTGGTGAATGATACTTTAGTTGGATAAATGTTTTACTACTTAGCTATTGGCTTGATCGCGATACCCTCCGGTGTTAATTTTTGTGCACGTTTTTTCGTAACTAACACCATCGCATTCTCGAATACATTAAGCGCCGGAAAAGTCTCAGTTACACTGAGAACCGTTACATTGGGCATCAGCAAGCCTGTCGGGTCCCCCCCACCCTTACCCCTTATCATTTCGTAGCTTTGCCTTTCTGAGAACGGGTTATTTGTTGTACTTGGGACATATTTCACGCCATTATAGTGACCAACTCTTCTTACCATATTTTTGAGTGCAAGGTGGTCCAACGTAGTCTTGGTAAGAGTCCTGCGAAAAGTTTTGTCCAGGAGCTGAATCTGCGGAAAAATATCACAAACACAATGTAGAGGAATTAATTATTTCAAAAATAAAACAGTTGTTCTGTTCTGAGCAGGGCCACTATTCAAATAATAATAATAATAATAATAATAATAATAATAATAATAATAATAATAATTATTATTATTATTATTAATTTGAACTATTCAAATTTGCTTTGCACCTGCGCCGGAAAAAAATTATCTTTTTTTTAACAAATAGAGAAGCTTTGACTGTGATCTGTTCTGTTATAAAGCACGCAGGAAGCGGCTAGAGCCCGAAAGAAGTGTAGGGAGAAACACTCGACTACCTCTCGTGTTTCTCCCCTCTTCTTGAGTGCTCTAGCCGCTTCCCAAGTGCTTTATAACAGAACAGAGCACAGTAAAGGCTTCTCTATTTGTTTTATAATAAAGAATCCATTAAATTCCCCGAGCATTACTTTCAATTTTCAAAACAAATTTTATTCCCAAAGCGAACAACAGTGTCGTCAGCATGCTCTATACTCTCATAAAGCACGCTTCAATAAGCCAATCAGAATCCCTATTAGAATGGTTCAAGTAATCTGATTGGCTGTACAAGACTTAAGCTGTCAAAAGTGTTAAACCATCAAAGTTCATAAAACTTCAAAGTTCACATTCTGCGATAGTTTACAAACTAAAATAGTTCGGCAGGTCGAATTTAACACTTTTGCCTGAAGTTTTTAAGTCTCTAATACAAAATCTTGAAGTGAAATGTTCAGTGAACTTCAGCCGAATTATGGCTCATAAAAATGCACGAGTTTTTTCACATGACCAGGTAGAAAACAAACTGTTCAAGGCGAGTGTATTGAACGACAGCCGAATTCACCGGAACATAAAGATCGCTCGGGATGACAGCAGGGCAAAACCCGGCTGCATTGACTGATGTGACTCAACCCACTCAACGCATCGGAAAGGATATCAGAGCAAACTCTTATTTTTTTACTCGAAGGGCGGCCGATGTAGTTTCTGAGGCTTGCTTTACTGTGATGACCGGAGATCGCCATGATAAGCGAGCCGCGATGGACTTCAGCATGATCATTTTCGCACAGACACCGTCATGATTAGAATGAATTTTAACAGTTATGCCAGTTTGGTTATATTTTTCATCATTTCTGTTTTGTTCACTTTTCTATTTGAACACTGAACTTTATATAGTACTATATGAGTGTTAGCTGTGTTGATTTTTATTTCCGTACTTCAGCTTGCAATCTAACTGAGCGTGAAAATCTTTAAAACTCGGAATGTCTATTTTGTTTTTCCTTTGAAGATTTTCGTATCTGCTCACGTTTAAAAAACGTAAATTACGGCGCCTGGTAAGTTTACAAACCTTTGTTTGGTTCTTCTGTTGCTACTTGCCGGCTCACTTGTTCCGAAATTCACTTTCAATTATCGGAAAAAAGCTAAAAAGAAGTCCCGGAAAAGGTCGAACGTAGTACAATTTGGCAGATGGCGTGACAGCTGAAGCTCAGCTCTATGCTCTATACTCTCACAGAGCACGCTCTTTCAACCAATGACAGCACTCGTTATATCCGAACTTTATTATAATCATAAATAAAGATAACTATGTTTGCATGTAGAGTGGTATATTGCTTGCAACCCAATCAGCCCGCCGCGTTAGGGTTCGTAATTCGAAGCAATCAGATTGCCACATAAGGGTATGTATCTCACACTAATCAGATTACCGCATTAGGGTATTATGTCGCATCAATGACATCATAACATTCAGATATCTTGTACCAATCACAGTGTTTAGGTATTGTTTTCTCTTAAGTGATGTTATGGTAAGAATAACATTAACCGGAAATTTCGGACTCGTTTGATAAGAGTAATGGTTTGTGGCCTCCGCAAGAGCCTCGTTGATTGAAGTCGAAATTTATCGGGATATGAAAGGGTTACATTTAACATTTTGTATCATTTTAAGTTTAAATGTGTGTTTTCCACTCCTTTTCTCACAACGCAGACGCCAGACAACTTACTTCCTATCTTAATTCACGACTCATACACAAGAAGGGGGTGTGCAGATCGAACTAGGAGCGCGAGTGTTTCATGCCGTCCGACAAAGGTACAGAGAACAGTAAACAACTAAATTACCTCTCGCGCGAGAAAACATTTTGTGTGTCGCCGCGTGATACGAAGACCCAAAAGACCCAGTGGGAAAAATAGGAACGTATTCCCTCATTCAAATGCAAGCGCACCAATCTCTAAGTTACAAGTTACATGCAAGAAAAAAATTAACATAAAGCTCGAAAAGTTCGAGAAATGAGATGAATCACAAATGTCAAACCTTGTTTACGCCCTTCAACAAAAGACGCAATTAACGCCGTAGCGGCTCACGTGCTTACACGCCGATAGGAAAATATTTACATTCTATTTCACTGTCCCTACGGTTTAGTTCAACCGAATGTAAATAAATTTTCCTTAACGTTCAAAGTCCAATCAGAATATACTACATAATTGCACTACTTGAACATGTGACACTTTTTCATGCCCTTGAATTTTATTCCACCGATCAAATTTTTTGCCTCATCAGACTTCACTCCATCATGTGTCATTTCCTTATGAACGACCTGCATTTTATTACGTATATATTCGAGCCGCATTATCTAACGTCACTGAAAATAGTTCATACGGAACTAAATGCTACTGATAGTAAATTTTCAACGTAATTCCCCCGCGTTTTGACTTCTTCTACGAATGAAAGTCGCTTTTAGCTACCTTGGACTTAATCCCAACGCGTGTTAATTCAGGAGGCAAATGCCAGATAGGCAACAACCAATCAAGGAGCCCTCTTTGAAATACTATAATTATATTCTCTTGTTCAATGTTTCTTCATTTATTCGAGATCGCATTATGTCCTTGGCTAGGGTCTATTGGAGATACGACAGAGTTTCATTTTGCTTTTCGTAGTAAAATTACGTGCAATTGTATTTTGAGGCAGCTAGCTGTAGACGAATAATGTTGATTTTCTCCCTGTTAGAAGAACGGCAGTAAGGGTAGTCTCTTTCTCAACAGTTATTTTGTCTCGTCACGTAACGCGCTCGCTCTCCAACGTGTAATATAGGGTGTTGTGTGACGAGACCAAGTAACAACTGCGAAGGAGACAAAGTTAAGCGTGGCACCCGAATTAGAAGCAGGATGGTCAGTTTATTGTGTTCACTGTACATTTTGCATTGCATTGAATTTGCCCCTGAAACTTACAGTTCAAACGATCGGATCTCGAAAGAGAATACAATAAACATAAAATTGATTCCCTATGCGAAGAACGACTAAGTCTCGAAGTCTTTTGTGTTTGTTTTATAAAACGAGAATTGGCATGTATCTTTACCAACATGAGTCACTAGCTTTGCACAAAAGATAACGCACTTTACATCATCACGCTTTATTATCTAACAAAGCAATCGATCGATGACTCTTTGCAGTTGGTATTCACTACCACTTTGTTCGATCGAAAGGACAAAAGGGCTAACGCTCGAAACGTCAGCTTTTTTACCCTTTACGGTGGCTAATTTACGTTTTCAACCCAGTTGTTAACACTAAATTACCTGCTATACTCTCCCACCGACGCAGCACCACAGTTTCTTTAGAAACTTACCCCTTTAACTACGTGAAAATTAGCGATAATTGAAAGTTTCACAACTGTTTTTACTCGTAATAGTGATAGTAACAGAACCATCTAAAACTTTCCTCTGCTCGCAAGGTTAAAAGTTAGACATATGTATATAGTGAAAACGTTCATTGGAATTGTTTCAAACACATTGTAAGTGAAAGTGTAAACTTGATCCCGACTGTCAGAGAGTTTATAGAAATTAGGTCGTGAGTATCACAAACGTTAACAAAGAATGTTTTTATTACGCCTAAGCGCTTCTGGTGCCTTTTAGTTTACTCAGAGTAATAATAATAATAAAACGAAAACAAAACAAAAAACTTACCCCTGGAAATCTCACAAATATAAGCCAGCCTGATTTCCCGATGTCTACCATTAATGCTACCAAACACGCCCTGTTCGCCACTATTGGACAGCTTGTACATGAAAGCCGCGTCGTGTTCACCACTTGGCTCCCCTTTTCCCCATTTGCAAATGGTCAGCGGTCGTTCACTCACCCAGGTCCAATTGCCGGCCTTTTTCGTTAAACCAATACTCCATTTACTTCTATCGAGCCAAGTATTTCGCCTTTGAATCTCGTCATTGATGAACTTCCATTCCTCTTCGGTTTCAAAGGAAACTAGGTCCCCTCCTTGTCTTTGGCAAGTGTTTTTGTTCCAGAGCCAGTACAGTCCATACACCGAAAATATGTACCAAGAGTTCTTAAAAGTTATGTTTGAGCATCCTACGAAATGATAAAACGGAAACAAAAATACTAATTATCATAATGATGATAAGCAAAGGGATAATAATAATAATGATTAAAAATATAAAAAGACTATGATCACAATCCCAATAGGGGAGAAAAAAAAATGATAAAGAAAACGTGACGTTTTATTCATTTTCTATTTCATTCCTTTTTTTTTTTTAATTTAACATCTGCAGTTTAAGTTTGATGAGTGTCGATTAATACAATACATCTTTCTTCGCTACAGCGTCCACCATCTCTGCCCTGCTTTTATAAATTAGTTAACTTCACATCAGCTAAGATTATCTGTGAGTTTATGTAATTTTAGTGTTTTATGTAATTTTGTAAAAAAGGCAAAAAATTAAAGTGCAAGCGACAAACTCAAAAGATCATCTGGGTGGCGGTAATCAAGATGACAGAAAACGTAAAGATAAATTAATTAGGGTTAGCTTGTGCTTTTCTTCCGATTTTCGTGCAGTTTCGAATTTAAATTCAGTCTTCAAGGTTCAAACCCATGATGTCTCGTCCTTAAAGTGACATTTTTTTCAGATTTCCCTGAAATCCTGAAATCCTATCTCTGCCTAGCGTCACGGCAACGCTTGTTCGAGTCGCCAGCTACAACCCTAGCTTCGTTGCCATTTTTCATAAATATATTTCGATTTGCCAGCTGAGTAGTATTTTTAAGGAAATCATTTTAAAACAAATCAAGCTGATCAATAACTAATTAATCCTCTCTTTCTCTCTCTCAAGTCACTGTGGCTGCCAGCAAAAGAATGGCTTTGAAATCATTTTTGATAGCAAATATGCTATTAAATGGGTTGACACGCGGCCTAAAAACCGTTTGTAATTAACCTAGACCTTCACTAGAAGTAACTCAGGAAGTTAGAACGTGAGGTATTTGTTTAAAACTGAATTAATTGATGAAGTTTTCATTCATTATATATCTGAATTCTTTAAAACAATTTGTTCATTGAAAAACAGTGAGCGATATCTTCAGTTCTATACTTTAAATACGCTTTCGGTAAATCTTTGCGAGTCCGCTCAATTTGACCATATGTACCGTAAATTTCACGACAGAAAATGAAGGAATTCAACGAGAAAAAGCGGCATTAAAAAGACCAGATTTACACACGAGATTGCACCAAGTAAACGAGCAAACTCCCTCAATCTCGAAACAGATTTAAATTTACAATTACTTTCCATTTACCGACTGAACAGAGCTATACTTCGTTCATCAATAGTTGATGGAAGTAAGTAATACTTTCTATAAGATCATTGACTGTTTTTAAAGAAAAAATTCCCGTGACAGACATTGAACTTAAGTTTGTGTGCCAAACCAGTGCCGTTGATGTTGTTGTTGTTTTCTTTTTTTAAAACTTGCATGCGCTTTTGTTTCTTACACGCTCTCTACTTTACAGGTGTCAGGTTGTGACAGATACTTGTTAAAAAAAAGGTTTCAAAGTTTGTTTGGAAGCCTTTTAAATCACCTTTTCCATTACACAAATAAAAATATTTCGGTAAAGCCTCTATTTAATTTGCATTACCTCAGTCTGTTTCAACTACCATTTACTCGTTCAAAAATTGTTCATTTCATGGAGGATCTTGCCGTAATTACAGCCCTAAATCATTAGGGTTCTTTTGGAAAATATTTCGTTGAGTTTAAAAGAAAAAAAAGCTGTTATTCATAAGCTAAGGAAAAAAAGTTCGAAACATATGTCCCCGTTTTTGTCATGGCCATTATGTTCAACTACTGATACACGCTTAAAAGTTCATTCGTCGCTCACACATACAAGTTAGGTGAGCCGAGCATATTATGTGAACAACATTTTTACTTTTAATTTTCCTGACACAAGTGCAAGACTGCAATGTTTCAGCACATAATATACTTTATGGTTGGAATGTGATCTTACCTCCGGGCATCTCGCAAATGAAGGCGTTTTTATCGTAACAAGAGGTACCATCAAAGAAGCCTCCATTCTTAGATATTTCCGCGCAAGAGTCGTTACCATCTGGCTGAGAATCTCGCCATTTCGAAATACTTAGTTTTTCTTCACTCTCCCATGTCCAAACTCCGCGATTCTTCTCTAAACCAATGTGCCACGCACTAGTATTCGAAGTACCACGCTTTTGAATCTCATCATTGATAAACTGCCATTCCTCTTCAGTTTCGATGGAGACTAAGTTACCTCCCTGGTAGAGACAGACAAAGCTGTTTTGATACCAATCTCTTCCGCTTTTCGAAAATATGTAGGATGAGTTTTTGAAACAGGTTGCTTGGCACTCTATGGGAAAAAATTAAAGGAATAAATAAACGAAAAAAAATGTATACTGATTGTAACAATAGTGATAATTCTGATGATGGAGACAAAGGAATAAATAAATAAACGAAAAAATGTATACTGATGACAATAGTAATAACGATGAAGATGGAGAAGAAAAAAATATATACCATTAATGATAATAAAACAATGGGCATCAAAACCCTTTACCTCACCGAAGGAAAAATTAGAATTAGGCAAGGTTTTAAAAGTGGAAATTGGGGAATCAGGGTAATAGCACTGTCAGTCTCTGACTTTTTTGTTTTGTTTTCCAACTAAAGTTTTTAATCGCAAAACGATGTCATTCCAGCAGGAAGTCTGACTAATTATTTTGATAATTCAGTCAGATCCTTTTTTTCAGTTCATTTTAAGATACTTAAATATTAAATTGTAATTACTCTTCCTCACCTGTTCCTGGCAATTCCATCATGAAATGAAGGATGACTGTAGAAGAGAAAATGGGAAAAGTGTTTTATTGTTATGTCGAAAATAACATTTGAAACAACAAAAGAGTTTCTTATATTTCAAGTTAGACTATTCGCTACAGTCTACCCGTGACTTTTTTATCTTCCCTAAAGAGCTGTCTAAGAAATTGAAAGAAAGAAATGCAGCATCTCCGCAACCAGCTAAACAAAACTTGTTACATATCGAAAACATTTTTAAGGATACGGTTGATCTTCGCGAATGTTCCAGGGATTCGTTTGGTTGACGTTACTCGCAGGTGTAACTAAGAAAGTATTATGTAAAGGGAAAAGGAGATGAACTAACCCCGAGCTAAATTGCCCTGAACCAGCCACAAGAAATTCACAAGATGTAAAAGAACAAACAATTAGGGGGTTATATTTGTCCCTATTCAAAACTAATCCAAATCTTTTAATGTTGAGAGCACGATTGTTTATTACCATGCGAATCCTTATATTTCATCAACCCATTGTTTAACGAGAACATATTTGCAAATTCGCAGATGCTTACTGTAAGAGCTTGGGTCTCCTGTGGTTGGACGTCAAGGTAGATCGATAATTGACTGCAAAAACGACTCTTATCATACGAAAAGGACTCGAATACAATTCTGCCTCTATGAAGACTTGAGGTAAAACGTTAACTGACCGAGCAGAACTAAGAATCTAAGAATGGGAAATTCAGAGTGATATTCCCCTCTTGTTATTCTAGCGCTAATTCAAGGGGTTTGAAAGGGGTTTGATTGGTTCGCCGCCGTTACAGAAAAAGAAGCGAACTTTTTCCTTGATACGGTCGAGCACTGCTAGCGAAGATGCCATCAGAATCGCGCTTTGTAAAATAGCCCCCATCTGGTTCGAAGAAACAAAAAAATCTACAACTCAGTAAAAGAGAAAATTCATAAAATGTCATATAATAATGGTAAGAATAAAAATGGGATGGAAAATACGAATTGCAAATCAATGTAGTCCATGAGTACACAACAGCCAGTCTAAAATAAAATCGACGAGTTAATTGTGGACACAATTTCAAGCTTAACTACTCCATAGGTAATCTAGATTAATAAATTTAAATGATACACAAGACTTTTTTCGCTTTAGTGGGGTGCAATTCATTCCACAGAAGTGGTTTACATACACGTTGATATTCCAAATGTAAAAAAAAAAAGGGTAAGTGAACACAAATGACACTGCCGGCTTTAGTTTTACCACGGTTAGAAACAAAGCTTTCAGTTCCTTTGATTTTTGTGATCGCGCGGACCGCACTTCATTTTAAAAACTTCGTGATTGTTTCGTACTGATTAATTGTTTTTAAATCATCTTGAATCGTGTTGTGGCAAAAACTATATAAAAAAATTTTAAAACTCCGCGAAAAAGTTTTTGAGTGTTTGCCATCCAAGAAGTATAGCGAAACGGAAACGATACTGGTGATTCTATCTTGTCAATGCTCTGAAATAACTTTTTTCTAGATTATTTAGAACGTACTACTGGAGCCAGGGTACCAGGCAAGGGTCACATGCCGACGAAGCGATAGTAATGGCAACAGTAAGTATTAAAGGGAATGTCATTTTTCCGTTCTGTGTCCATACGGGATCGGTCTAAACGCGCTGTGTGACCAGGTACACTTGAAAATACCGGGTGAAATTTCGCAGTTGTTCGTAATGTTGTTCTGCTTATTCAAGGCACGACAAAAAAGAAAAAAAAAAAAAAAAAAAAAAAAAAAAAAAAAGAAGAAGAAGAAAAAAGAAAACAATCTGTGTTTTTCATGGAGTCGAGCATTACCAGCAAACAGAAAAAAAAAACGTTTTCGACCAAAGATGTCGATAGCACTTGCGTGCTGCAAAAACTATTATTTGAAGAATAATACGCAAAACAGGTTCGATCTATTATCTATCTTTTTCCTTTGATTTTGTTCACTTGAAGCTCAAAACTAATATGAAAATGATAGAAAATTGCGGTGAAAAATGTCAAAGACTCGGTTTGTAACTGTGCCTCGAATTAACCGGGATGGGCACTGATTGCTTTGAGCAACGACTTCACATACTTGGAGCAAAGCAAATTCCCTGAATTTCCCCAACTGCCACTGACGTTTTTAAGGTAATTCCGTCATTCTCATTATCGGGAGGTCAAACGTATCTATTAGACATTTAATTTAAATTAAAAAAGTTCAAAATTGTCACTTCTCGGAATAGATAACTTTAAATAAATGCACCCTACTCGAT